ATAGGAGGTGTAATGTCACATTGGGTGCTCTGTAGCACAAATGTAGTTAGAAATCTTTACCATAGAGAAAATTTTTTCTTTTCTAAACCATATCCTCTTTTTATTAGCTAGTACTGAGTTGAAGAAATTTGATAGCCTGGTCAGGTAACTTATCTGCCCTCTTACCCAAGTCTTTTTAGTAACAGGAGGACCATTAATCTCTAGATTAATATAGGTTTATTGTAATAAAGTTTCCACTATGACATTATATTAATAAAAAAAAAATTTTTATTTGAGTTTTTTTATACTGTTAATTTTTTAATGTTTTTTTTTTTTTGAAAATATCTCAAAATTATTCAAGCAAATGCAATAAACTTTTTTTATTTTAATTTTAAAGATCTCTAGAATTAAAATAAAAAAGTTTATCAAATTTGCTTAGATGGTTGTCGAGATATCTTTGCTCAAAGTTCTGTAAAAACTTAAAAACACCTATACATAATTATGATAACAACTTTGAACAAAGATGTATTGACAACCATCTAAACAAATTTGATGAACTCTTTTTTATTCTAATGCTAAAGATCTTTAGAATTAAATTAAAAAAAAGTTTATCAAATTTGCTTGGATAGTTGTCGAGATATAATTCTATAAATATTTAAAACACCAATACATAATTATGATAATAACATTTGTACAATAACTTTAAACAAAGATATCTCGGCAACCATCCAAGTAAATTATGAACTTTTTTTATTTTAATGCCGAAGACCTCTAGAATTAAGATAAAAAAAAGTTCATCAAATTTGCTTGGATAGTTGTCAAGATATTTTTGTTCAAAGTTATTATACAAGTATTTGTTATTGTAATTATATAGGTGGTTTAAATTTTTACAGAACTCTGAATGAAGATATCTTAACAGCCATCCAAGCAAATTCGATGAGCTTTTTTTATTTACTCCTAGAAATCTTTAGCATTAAAATAAAAAAAAGTTCATCGCATTTGCTTGGTTGGTTGTCGAGATATCTTTATTCACAGGTGTTTATCATAATTATGTATAGGCGTTTCAAATTTTTACGGAACTTTAATGAAAATATCTTAACAACCATCCAAGAAAATTCAATAACTTTTTTATTCTGATTCTAGAGATCTCTAGAATTGAAATAAAAAAAAGTTCATCAACTTTGCTTGGATGGATGTCGAGATATCTTCGTACAAAGTTATTGCACAGTGAATGTTATCGTAATTATATATAGCCGTTTTAAATTTTTACAGAAGATATCTCGACAACCATCCGAGCAAATGCGATGAACTTTTTTATTTTAATTCTAGAGACCTTTATAATTAAATTTAAAAAAAGTTCATCGAATCTGCTTGGATGGTTGTCAAGATATCAGTTATTTTGCACAAGTTTTTGTTATTAATCATATAGGCGATTTAATTTTTACAGAACTCTGAGCGAAGATATCTTGACAACCATCCAAGCAAATTCGATAAACTTTTTTTTTATTTTAATTCTAGATATATCTAGAATTGAAATAAAAAAAAAGTTTGTCGCATTTGCTTGGATGGTTGTCGAGATAGCTTCGTTCAAATTATTGCACACGTGTTTGTTATTTATATATAGCCGTTTTGAACTTTGAGCAAAGATATCTCAACAATCATCCAAGCAAATGTAATAAACTTTTTTTTATTTTAATTTTAGAGATCTCTAGAATTAAAATAAAAAAAGTTTATTACATTTGCTTGGGTGGTTATCGAGATACTTTTGGTTAATTTTTAATTTTATGTACATATAGTATATATACGATTTTATCACATTGTGATTATTGATATGCATGTTTGGTCACGTGGATACAAGGCTTTAGCGGATCCCTATATTTGGACGTTTCCTCCTGTTAATACAATCGTACAATTCAATTTTACCGGAGATTGGATTATTAAATTTATTAAATTTTATCATAAATTTTAATAATCACAAATCAAAAAAATCCGCCCATACAATATAGTAATAACGTTGGACCATACGATTTACATGTACAATAAAATTATACATGCCGAAACTCTTAACGTTATCTCTAAATTAATACTTTTATTTAAGCGTTCTTAGACGTTTGTGATGGATCGTCGGTACTATCTTGATGGTGTGGAAGAACAATTGATTTATGTGCTATTCCTAATAGAGTTTTGAAAACCACACTACTATAAAGCCACGGTGTAGAAAATTGACAACCTATTAATACCGCCCGATCCGAATGTAAGGTCAATATCCTTAATCTCAATATTTTCAATGTTAGGAATATCGAGATCAACGTTACGGATTAATCACAGGTCATTACTTTAGTGTTCCCACTATAACTAAGCACTGTTCTGAGAATCCGGCATCGGGTTCCTTTAAGAACCTTATCAATAACGGTACGTAAATCGACTTTTTTTTCGACGATCCATCAGGAAAAATATTTTTGCAAAAAACACATTTTTTATAAATTTAACATTAAAAAAAATAAATAAATAAAATGAATAAATCTAATCGCCATTACTTACATCAAGACTGTAAAGTATTTCAAAATCACAAAATGTTTGGATAAATAAAAATCTTTATTCATTTATAACTGTATCATTATTATTTTATTTTTTATTTTTTATAAAATGATCTGTTCTTAAGATCCAAATATTACTTATTGTGAATCAATATTCTTTTGGCTATTTCCAATTTGCATCGAAGCATATCTACGATCCCTTCTTCTAAAATTGAATATACGTAAATTGTTAACATTACTGACCATAATAATATAAAAAATTATTATGAGCATACTCATTCATACTCACTTATGAGAATTAAAGAAACTTTCAACAGCAAGTATAATGCCAATAATTCCACATACTACTCCTACTACTATATAAGCAATTCCAGGGAATGGATGTTTACCACCGACCACGGAAGGCGTGGAAATCACTATGGATTTGGTGCCACCATAACCTTTGACAGGAAAAACTATTAATATTTCAAAAAATATTATTAGTATAATATAAAAATTAAATAAAGGTTGCAAGGAAAAAAAATATATATTTTTTTTATTATAAAGCTCACCTGTATTAATATTTATTTGATAATATCCAACTTGTAATGGTGCAGCTTCATTAATTCCATAAGTTTTTCTAAAAATCGGAAGCCCAGCTGTATGCATCCAAACTTGAAAATGTTCATCTGTTGATGGATCTATTGGAGGATAATCGGTTGTATATGTACCATTCGGGTATCTTGCTTCCCAATTTAAAGGTGGTCGAATTTGACCAATATTATATGTAGTAGGTTTATATTTTGCTGTTTCTCCAGGTGGTGCAATACCGTTATAAGTAAAATTATATGTTATATTTGTATACAATGATTCATCGAGTGCATTTAACAAAGTAAGGTTTCCTATGGTATCTATAAAAAATAAACGAAATATTAAATAATATTTTATTATGTTTAAAAACATATTTTTAAATGAACATTAGGCATACCATTGAACATGGAATTCGCAAGTAGTCCACAGGGATATATTATAGTTTCATTATAAAGCGCAAGACTCTTACAACCACCACGTTTAAGACCATCTCTATTTACGGCTTTTCCTTTAAGTTGATCAGTATCTAAACTTCTAGCATAACCTCTTTCATTTTGAAAGAAATTTGTTAGACGATAATATAAATATACTGGAGGTTTCATCTCTTTATGTATATAAAAAATAATAGAACATCGAGTAATTGTTTTATTATTTGGAAGAATAGTAATGTTCGATCTCTTCCATTTAGGATGCTGAGAGTTTTCCGGTATAGATTTGGATTTAATCATAGAATCAGTTACATATTTTACAGGTATTGGACCGAATTCAAATAGTGCTTCCGTATCACAATGTGTATAATCTATGGATAATTCTAAAGCCTATAACCGAAAGATTTATCTTAATAAATAATTTCATGAATTATACGTTATTATATAAATTCTCACTTTATCATTGAAGTAAAATAAAATTCCACCCAGTGGAGAAAATATCGTAGCAATTGCTATAAATACTGGAAATACGGTTTTTGGTGTTATAATTGGTTGGCATGCACTCAGGCGCTGTTGTTTAAAGGCAGAGTCTAAATATCATTAAAATTGAATCATTAAATAATTTTTATTATTTCATAAATACTACATGGTTAATTTATGGATTAAACTCTAAAGCTTACTGCCAGGCTTTCGTTTTGGAGTTGTCGCTTCGGTCATTTTTTAAACTAAGTTAATTTTTATTAATAAAAAATCGGGAGAGCAAGTAAACCATTTGTATGTAGTGCAGTATATCATTATATTACATATTTCATAAGGGGATCGTGTAACTTTAATTAAATTATTTTGGGTAACAATTTTTTAATTTCTAAAAATATTTGTTCCAAAATTAGTATTTTATGTAAATCAATAAATAGATCTAGTTGATAAAATTTCTTCACATCTTTGGCACAAACTTTCTTCTTCGTTAGCAGCATAATTCCAACATCTTGGACACTTATGCATTTGTGCTCGCCTTATAACAATTTTACATGTCCCTTTTACATTTTCTATATTATTAATGTTTTTAATGTAGCCAATATCATCTGCATTATCGTTTCTGATATATATAGAATTGGCGGCTTGTAGTGGTTCATTGAGAAATGAAGGCGGTAGTACATTTGGAGTTAAGGTTGCTTCGGATGTAATAAATATTAATTTTAGCTCTGGTTCTTTTTTTAATAAAAATATAAATAAGGTAATAAAGTGTTAAATTGAGTGTGAAATGTTGTACAAACAAAATTTGTAACCGTTATTGGCGCAGTAAATTGCTAACCAAACAAGTTTGCGCGGTACCCTTATATTTACCATGGTTTGATAGTAACTCGTATAATTCTGAAGTCACATACAACTCCACGTTAGCTTCTAATGAACTTTTAATTACTCTTAAATTGGTCGGTTAAATAGGTTGAAGAATCGGCAGTTAGAAGTATTAATAAAAATTTTCATATACTGCATTATTATTATTATTTAGGAATAAAAAATAAATACGGAATTAAACTTACTTATCTTTCCTAGCCACCTCTAATAGCTGATTCACTTCATTTCTCAGTGTTTTCAAAATATTCCACTCTTTTTGAATCGCCCGATTATCCCAATTCTTATTCTAAGACAAAGAATAGATCAATTTAAAAATTCACAATAATTTATTCACCGCATGTTTACATGTTAACTTACCATGTTATACCACCCTAGTTTAAATATACTATCAAATTGCTCACGATCAATGTTCTTATAATTCTCGTATATTTCTTCTGCTAGATGTGGAACCATCGGTGCTAATGATCTTGTATATACATTAAGAATCTTCATATATATATAAATGATTCGTAGTAAACAAATTAAAATCTGGTTAACAAAGTTTTGCTAGCAATAAATCCTACATAAGGGTTAACTCACATGATACAAAACAGTCTGAACACTTCTTCGACTAATGCTTAGTGCATGGTCAGCATATAATCTGTCTTTTACAATATCGAAGTAAAATGCTGATAGTGATACGTTTGTAAAGTTGTTTAATGCCTGTACGACTAAAATTAAGGAAAAAAAAAAAATTCAATAAAGACGAAAATGTACTGACTTGAAAAATCATCTAAGGGAACTTTTATGCTCACCTTTATTAAATAAAAAATCATCATAGTTGGATTCAACAGCTTTTCCAAATTGATAAGTTTCATGCAACATGTATTTATCAATCTACTTAGCAATGATGTAAAATAATTAGCAAGGCTAAAATGAATATTTGTGAAATTATAACTATGCACTTACTGATTTCAAATCATCATAGGCTACCAATTGTTCATGATCAAAATTGTTTAAATTGCCCAACATGAACCTAGCTGTGTTACGATATTTTCTCAGATTTTCACCTACTTGGCCTAATAACAGAAAGTAATAATTTTTACATCCTTTTCAAAAATTATATCAAAACTACACATCGTCACAATTTTTGATTAAAATACAAACTCATAACAGTTTTTCCAATGCTAACATCTCTAGTATAATCTGAAGATGCAACCCAAAGTCTCAATACATCCACACCATAGGCTGGTTCTTTTTCTTTATTCTATGATTTGTTTTTTAAGAAATAAATAAAAATAAATATTATTATCAAGTTCGTCAAAAAAGAGAGCATAATAAATATAAAACCTTTCCGCCATTTATTATTGTTTTCGGATCAGTTACGTTTCCCAAAGATTTAGACATTTTACGTCCTTTTTCGTCAAGAACAAATCCATGTGTAATAACAGCAGAAAATGGTGCAGTTTCATTAACAGCGACTTTGTAAGTAAATCAATAAATAATATAATAATCAATAAAAATAATAATTAATGTAATTAATGTACATAGTATATATGCGTATAAGTCATGATAAAAGTAATTGTTACTTTACTAGAAGTTAATAATGATGATGTGAACCATCCACGATGCTGGTCAGTTCCTTCAAGATATAAATCTGCGACAGCATTGGAATCTGGTCTAATTAATAATTCGAAAAATGACATAAAAATATCTAGTTCAACATAAATAAATACGAAATAATCTTGGATAGTTTTCAACTTGCCTTTTGAACTTTTCTAATATATAACTCCATGACACACCACTGTCGAACCACACATCCATCGTATCCATACCTCGTCGATATTTTATACCTTTTAATTATAACTGCATTAATAACAAAAACAATCGAAATTAAATTATTTCATTTACGGATCATAAAAGAATAAGCCATTACCATTGTCCCTATACTCTGGCGCCATCAACTCTTTTTCATCAATCTCCCACCATGCATCCGATCCAAAACGATTCACGATTTCAATAATATGAGCTATAGAAGGCTCTGCGAATAACGGTGCATCCGTTTCGACGTCATATAAAACAGGTATAGGAACACCCCAAGAGCGCTGACGTGATATGCACCATTCGTTACGTGATAATGTATATATTTCTAAGCGATTTCGAGCTTTTATAACGAAAGACATTAATAATCAAGAAAAATATAAAAGAATAATTGATAATTATCCGAATAACAGTAAATACCATTGTCTGGTAAGATCTTGATATCCGCAAGTGATGAAAAGGCTTTCTGCTTAAATGCTTCAACGTTAATGAACCATTGTGGTGTGGCTCTATAAATATTAATTTGTTTATTAATTGCTTTAAAAACAAAATCAAATATATCTATCTACACATTACCTTAAAATGATAGGCTTTTTAGTTCTCCAATCATAAGGATATTTATGAACAATTTCATGTTCTTTCACCAACAACTTGTTTTCTTTCAAATAATTAATTATAGCATTTGTTCCATCGTTTAATACGTCTTTTCCTTCAAAGGAAGGATCACCAACTTCTGCAGTAAATTTTCCAAAATCGTCGATGGGACAAAATGGTGAAATATTTAATTTTTTACATGTCTCGTAATCTTCAATTCCATGTCCTGGTGCTATATGAACTAAACCTAATTTTGAAAATTTTTGAAATTTTAGTTTTGAGAATTGATATTTAGATTTTTTTTAACTTAAATATTAATTTCGAGAATGAACAAGTGAATAAAGGGTCAGAGAGATAAATATAATAAAATACCAGTTCCAGAGTCAGATGTTACATGGTCTGCATCTATTATCTTGTATGGTACTTGTGTAACTGGATGTTCGTAACTTGTACCGATCAAGGTGTGTCCTTTAATGAAAAAATTGATATTATTTCTATATGCATTAATTTAACACAATTATCGCGTAAATAATTAATAAAGATATAAAAGGTACCTTCAAAAGTGGTTTTAATATTCAATTCAGATCCAATGATCTTTTGCAATGCATCAATCATATTATTTGCCACAATATAATAATCTTTACAACTTACAAATTCAGTATCAAAGACAGGGCTGACAATCGAGTATTCTACTTTTGAATTAATTGCGACTGCCTAATTAAACCCTTTAAGGTTAATAATTATGATAGGAATCGAAGTTTAATATCAAGAATTTAGATGAGCGAACAAACCCGATTTGCCGGGAGCGTCCATGGAGTTGTTGTCCATATCAAAATGTAAATATCAGTGTCGTTTAAATTCGGTAAGTTTAATGCTACGAAAAGATATAACATGACGAAAATTAGATAAACGAAATTTTATATGTAACTAACCATTAATGATTATGTGCATTCATTATGTAAAACTTACATGATTTTACCAAAGGAAATTTCACATAAACAGATCGACTTTTATGATCATTGTAATACTCTAATTCAGCCTCAGCTAAAGCTGTTCTAATATTGACCCAAATGATTTAGACAAGTTTATTCGATAAAACATATTCTTTTATGCAATTATTACCTTGAAGATGGAGACCAATAAACAGGTTTATTTTGTCTATATATGTATCCTACATTAAACAAAGGATCTCTTTACTCAAGCTAGCTCAATAATAAATTTATAAAATAAAATCACCGAAACACACCTTTTTTTGCCATTTCATGAAATAGTTTTAACTGCCTAACTTCATATTCCTTATCTTTAATTTACAGATAAGAAACAAAATGTGAATAAACAATATATAAAAATTTTGCCAAATACTAAATTGTACTAAATCTGAGATGTTACACCAACCAAGAGTCTTATAAGGATTATCCCAATCACCGATAATTGCCCAACTCTTAAATTCAGACATTTGAATTTCTATTGTACTTAATGCGCATTTTCTTGCCGTAAGGCGTATTTGCATGGGAGTTAAGAAAGATTTGTCTACATTCTATTACAATGATAAATGATCATGTACTTTAAGTTTTTATAAATTGATCATTAGTTTGATAAATATGAAATACTTTGAAGTGAATAAAAGAAATTATTCAAGTACCTTCAATTCTGATAAAGCTTTTAATTCTATCGGTAATCCATGACAATCCCATCCTGGAATAAAACTATAAAGTATGAAATTATTTTTTTGTAGTTCAGGACTATATTATTAAAGGTCAAAAATTCGGAGAACTTACGCGACTTTATGGCCCTTTAATATTTTATATCGATTTATTATATCTTTCAAAATTTTATTTAGCACGTGACCTATAAAGTCGGTTACGAAATCGAAATTTAGTTAATATCAAAAAAAAATAACTACTCAAAAATACAAAATAATTAGTTTTTAAGTTTGACTCATACCTATATGCAAATTTCCATTGGCATAAGGTGGACCATCATGTAAAATAAATAAAGGTTTTGGGTTATTCTTTAGCTATACAATTAGATAGTAAATGAGTAAAAGAAAGTCTTGCTACTAAAAAAATCGAGCATAAAGTATAAAATATCTTTACCTGCCAAGCATACAAATCTTTTGTACACCTATCACGAAACAAATGCTCTCGGTTTACAGCATCAGCCCTAAGTGGAAACTTTGTCTTTGGCAATAATAATGTTTCCGCGTATTCTTTGCTTTTCGTAGTTGAGGATTTTAGTAAATTCGATCCTTTATCATCATTCTTTGTCGTCGTGAATAATGAAAACTTAAAGATGCAAGGCATTCTTAATCGCATTGAATGCGACCTCAATGTACGTAATCTATGTATATTTCGGGATGCTAAAAGTTCAATGGGAATCATCTTTTTTTTCATCGAAATTCGAAAAACTTCAAATTATATCATTAACGTTAAAATAGATAATCGAGAATTTTTCAAGGTTGTGTTACGTGGTACTAAATGAAATTTAACAACCTGACATTATCGCTAAGATCTATCGATATTCTGCGTAAATGACAGAAATGATGTAAAAGCGAATCTTAATAAAAAAGGATCTTGGAAATTAAAGTCTCAGGCTTAGCCTCCATAGTAACGTGTAGGAATCTTTTAATAATTCAATTACCGGTATCTCATAATCTTATGCGATCAATTCATTAGGGATTTATCTAAAAATTGAGATTTAATGCTTTAGCTTGACAACATCAAGTATTATAAAGATATCCCGAATTTACCACTCAAAAATAATACAATAAAGCGAGATTCGACTAATAATCTTTTATATACCAAAATCCATCTATCGATAATTATAACGAAGCACGTATATTGAATAATAATTATTTAAATCTAATATCACTGGAAAAAAAATACCAATTTTATATTCAAGACATCGAAGGTCGAGCTTTATTTTTTAAAAAAAAAAAAAAGAAAAAAAATCCTTATATACATAGTCAACAAATATTGAAAACCTTCAATCTATTTACATTCCTTTTCTTCGCTTCTTTTGTTTACCCTTATTCTATTACAAAATACTTCTTAATTCCCTTCGACATATCTAGTATACCCTTCGTATACTACGACATAACCAAAAATCCAAACTACCTTCAATATAGAATAATATATATATAATAAATAGAAAATTCGAAAAAACAAAATCTACCACGTTCTAACCTCTTTATATACGACCGCAAATAATATATAATTTTTGGTATAGCTATTTTGAATTCAACACGACGACGACGTTATGGCTGTCGGTTGAAGAAGGCAACATTGTCCTTTCTTAAAATTTAAAAGCGGCCGCTATGGCTTTCGGTTGAGTAAGGTAGTAGCATTTGAAATCTTTTAAGTACTTGAATAAGATTCAAGAGGGGCGGCGGCGGCGGCGACGGAACGACAACGACGACGACAGCGACGACCACAAGTTCAAAATTGTACATAATGAACGCACATTATTATTAAAATTATTCATATAGTTGACTCATCCTGTCTCTTTTATATGAGAGAACAAGATCGTCATTAATTACCCTTATACGTCATTGATTATAACAATCTGATTGGCTAACGATGTCGTGCTTCTCTTAAAATCTTAAAATTACTACGAAAATGAACAATTTGTAATATACCAGGACTTTCGTGGGCGTTAAATTATTAATGAAGTAATTGGAGTGCTGATTAAATGGTCATGTGTTTTACATATGTACACACGTAAGAAATATACAATTTATGTATAACGGTCAAAATGATCTACACAATAAAAAAATTTATATGTATACTTTTTATAATATCAAGGTTCTTATTACGGATAATTTTATCGTTATTATTGTTTCTTTTTTTGGTCACTAAATCAAAGTTGAAACGTATCTACAATCAAATTACATATTGATATCGATGTGAGAACTAACCGTCCTCCATTCTTTAGATTAAGAATGCAAGAATGTAACGAGAAATCTCCAGGTGAAAACGGGTTTAATGATTCCCTACCCTAAAAAATCTCGCTGGCAAATCAAAAGCTTCACAATTCAAAAAATCGGTCGTAATAATTGTCTTCTGCGCACTGAACAAAGAAGTTGTCCTTGTGACTTTTTTTGTGTTAATGAAGCTTCTCTAACTTAAACTATTGGTGTAAACTAATAGCGAAAATTTTTTACCAAAAATTTTTGAAATTGATCAACGCTATAGTTCTAATTTTCGTTTTTCGATACCTAACTAGCATTGAAAACTCAATCAGGAAACACCTAACTAGTGTTCCGTACGGACAGATATTTTTTAAAGATCAAGATCTGATCCTTAAATCGCATCAGATCTTGGCTTTAGATCCGAAACAGGGACAAGTAGATCTAGATTCGATCCGGATCCATCTCCCTCCTTCTTGTTCAGATACAGTAGTATATAGAAAAAGAAGAATTGATAATGAGGTATATGGATTATTATATGCGGAGCAACAATTATATAGAATATTAAATTTGTGGACGCTGGAGCCCCTGTTTTATTTAAAAAAATAATAATTTGTATAATTATCTTGTGAAATGAAATGTTCATTGAACATATCTTTTAATAATTTGGAAATACTAGAATATATTAAAAATGATGTAACTTTTTCTAATATCTGCTAAATAAAAAAAATTGTTGAGGTAATGAGTGCTAGAATATATTTTCCGAAATGCAATTTTTTAAATAACGATACGGGCGAAAATTTTTGATATTAAAAAAATCATATCAATATGATTCGTAAATTATTTATAGACGGTTTCATAAGGTTTCATAATCAATTTTATGATTAAAAAATATCTACCAATCAAATATATCGTCATATAATCTTAATAACACCAAAATTTCCCCCCCCCCGAGTACTACGTACTATGAATAAAGAATAATTCAATTAGTATGAAAGTTACGTACATTGAAAACTCTTATTTTAACGCTGCAAAGGATATGAAACATTTAATGAAAACGCAAATAAAATGCCAAGTATAGGATTTTTATTTTTATCAATGCCATTGATTGGCCAAAAATCTGAAATAAAAAACATGATGCATTTCGTGCTAAGACTTTAATTCATTTTATTAATTTTTCTTTGAACCCGCACTCATGATTGTATCCGAATTATTAAAATAGGACTAATGATGCGACCCAAATTATTTGGGACGTCCCAAACCATGTGACAATTAGTAAATCATTATCTTTATTCTTATTGCCGAAACTATGTGATGCTAATTATCACGTGGTTTGGGACGTCCCAGGACATCTTCATTTGCAAATTTCGAATGATTGCCATCAGTAACCTCAAGAATATGGTTATCTCAATTATCAGAATCTAATTCATATGAGAAAGAATGATATCAATTATCCAAAGTGCGAAACTGGAAACCCTTCGCTGGATGATCTCTATCATCTGATCCTTGGTAGCATCACTTTGACGATCTCAAGAATCGAAGGAGACACCAACTTTACGATCAATTCGCTATACATTCTATTACCGATAGATCACTCGTATCTGACTTAAGGAAACTAGAAATGAATAAACTTTCTAATTAAAAAACTTTTCGTTCAATGATTTTTTTTCATTCCTATAAGGACAGGATGTTTTGAATTAAGCAATATAATAATCACAAAATTCGAACATGATATTTTCATACCTGAACACCAAAATCATGTCTCCACAGTCTGATTGTATTTCAGTGTATGTTTACTAGAAGTTTATTATCTCTATTACTGCCAATTAGAACCGAAACACCAGGACCACTGGACAGAATTGTTTTTCTGGGTATTACAAGCTATGTGTCGACTTTCTTTTCATAGTAGCTTTTGAAAATATACTGTGTCCACACGGCTTAATGTCATTATGAGTATTATTGCAAAATTTATTTCAAACCAGATTTTCTAAAGTGACCAGTAGCACCAAAAATATGACCATATCCAATAAAGAACTTCCTTTTTGCAAAAGTTGTATTGCGCAAAGTATTATTCAAAGTAATAACTCTATACAAATATTCTATTAATATTTGGGTTATATTAATATTAATATGTCTACAAATACTGAAATACTGCTAATAAATTATTTGCTAATTGTTATTACAAACTATTAAGGTTTTTCTTTGTTTGATTTGTTAAAACTTCGGTTCCTTAAAGGATACATTGTTTGTGAGAGCCTTATTCCTAAATAACATTCTGAATTACAAAGCAAGCCTTGTTTTTACATTTATACCTATTATTTTGTATAAGGTTTTGCAATTACAATTCGTTTCTTTTTTTATTTTTAATATCTAACTGTTTTGCCGCTACTCTTAACGATAATTTTATACATATTTGGAATATCTTCTAAGATATCTAAACATTTTGCTGCTGCTCTTTCTGATAATTTGATATTTGGAATATCTTCTATCTAAACGTTTGAAGTTTTCCAATGGTATAATTTCCTTCAACCCAGATATTCGAATTATCAACAAATATGTGTACAAGTCCTATTCATTATAGAAGTTCTTAAATTTTCTTAACTGAATTGTTCTTATTGTTGAACTAATACGATAGATATCATCTTTTAATAGAAAAAATGTACAGTATTAGTTAATGTTTCTACGAACATTAATCATTATTTGTAAGATATAAATTTTCAGACTCTAAGAAACCAACAAATTGCGCAGGTGTCCACTCTTAGGGTTTTTTGACTGAAGGAAAAGGTTTTCCGGACCTAGTAGTGTTTTGATTGAATTACTTGTTTAACGTGTTTAACGTGTTTGATGTTGCAGAGTTTGCGATAAGGTAAATTTGTTAGCCAATAACCGTTCTTTCTGATCAAACCTTTGTTCATGCTAGTTCGATTACCATATATGAGAAAACGCATCTGGAATTTCAATCCGTTTCTAAGAAATGAGTGCTGCCAAGGAAAAACCTGGAGTTTGATTTCCGAAATTTCACTTTCAGAAACGGGTTGATCAGATCCCTGATGAATAATATACCTTAATAAATTCTATTTAATAAATCATGTGTTGATAAGCCTGTTCGAGTTCGGAAACCTCACAATTCCAGGTTTTCCCTTGGCAGTACTCATATGGTGGTGAAAAGCTAGCGATTGAATTTATCACAGAATGCCGCAGAAATCACGGGAATTAGGTTTTAAACACAGAGATAGCACGGAAATATTACGGAAAGTGGGAGTGGAAGTAGGGATTTTCCATATAATTTTCTACAGGTACGTCGTACGTACACAATCTTAAGATTACACCGACCCTAGTGTAGGCGTGGAAAATAATTATTCCTTGTTGCACGAATTGTTTCTCAATGATATCTGT